GAGCTCCTTGCTGGCTGCCTCGATTTCGGCATTCTTCTTATCCTGCAACGCTGGCACGCCGACGATGTCGAACCATATCGCGTTGTCGGTCGGGTAGCGCATTGTCGGCTGGTTGATGCGCAGCCACTCGTAGCAGTCGCGGAACATCTTCACGAACATCGCAGCCCAGTAGGACACCGTGTTGCCGTACATGTCGAGTTCCGCCTCGTTGCGGTTGGAGTACTTTGCGTTCTCGAAGAATGCGTGCAGCTCCTTCGGGATGTTCATGAACTGCAGAATGGACGAAAGCGCGGCCTTGCGTTTGTCCATGAGTTGCAGTTCTGCAATCGGCATGTCAATCTTCTGAAATTTCACCGGGTTGCGCGTAATCATAAGCGCCCACTTTCCGAAGCGAACGCCGTAGTTCTTACGGTAGTCGCTCTGCATCTTCTCGATTTCGGTGTCGTCAAGGTAACCGTCTGCGCGGCTGCTGTTCTCAGGACTGAGCACTCCCATCGCGCCGTAATTCATGATTAAGTTGAGGTCGCTGTCGTTTATCGTGTTCAGAAAATCGATCTGCGGCTTCATCCGTTGTGAGCGCGTCTCACCGGTATTGCGATACACCTCATCGTACATCGTCACGAAGTCGCCATCGTTGTAATGGCTTATCTCACTATCGAGCTCCCACGACCACGTCAGTGTCGGCATGTGCATCGACACGCTGCCGTCGTAGAACATGTGGCGGATAACAGATGCGGCATCGTCGTGCAGTTTCCGAGCAATGCTCGTGATGTCGATGGTCTCCACGTCAGACTGAAACACCACATTCTGCATGCGGTTGCTGATCATGGACAGGATGCCGTCGACATCGGACTTTGCAAACGGACGACACTCGCGGTCTCCGCCCATGAGTCCGTCAATGCCGCAATATCCTGAATGCTTGCGAGGTCTGTAGAATTCAATCGTTAAATTTCCTATTTTCATTTCGGCAAATATACAATTTTTTCGACACTTGCAAAAAAAAATTACATTTTCATTCTCTCAAACGCCATTATCACGTTATCGATGAGGTCGTCGTGGATGTCGTCACCGGTGCACGGAAAGACCTCAGCCTCCCGCAACAGTTCGCGTACAACCTCTGCATCGCATCCGTCACCGATGCGCAGATAGTTGAGCACGTTGTCGCGCTGTACGTATGCACGCCCGTACTTGTCGGACGTGGTTGCGAATGACGCCACCGACCGCACGCCGTACAGCCGCAGCTTCTTGATCACTGACGCGCCGACACCGTTGGCCTCGCACCAACACACCGTGTAGTCATGGCGGTTTATCCACTTTGCGACATCTTGAGGTTCCGCACGCGGTGAAGCGAACGCATCCACGAGGTACAAGAAACCGTCCTTTCGGCGGTAATGGAACGCGGTGAAGAAGTCGATGCCGTACTCGGTAGATGGGTCGATGATGATGAAGTCGTCGCCGTCCTCTGGCACGGCGCACGTTATCGGCCGCCAACCATCGAACAGACACACGCGACCGGTGGCGGTCGGCTGCTGCTGGTACTGTGCATCCCACACCTCTGACGATATGCGGTTGCGCTCAATGGTTAGCTCTCCGGTAGTCTTCCATGCCTCGCAACAGCTGGTACCGTCATCGTTCATCGCGGGCAGCATGTACTCCTCCGCATCGGGCCACAGCGAGAACCAGTCGTTGACCGTCCACCGCGTGCCGACATTGAGGATTTTCTTCTTGCCCTCCATACGTCCGATGAGTACGGAGTCGCGGAACGATGTGAGGCTGCGGCGGTATGCTGCGCTCATCGCGTCCTGCATGTTCTTCGCCGTGTCGTCAATTATCGCGATGTCGAAACCGAAACCAGTGATTGAACCTCCGACACCGACTCCGGCATGGTTATCCATGTCGTTGCCAGCGATCCTCCACCGGTTGCGCGTGCCCTCGGTGGCCACCTGCATTCCCAACTTCTCGCAGAATGCAGCCAGCTGGTTGCGCACCTGGTACGAGAACGACTCCGCCAACTCCGCTGAATACGACGCACGCAGTATGCGGGTGTGTACGTCGCACGTCAGAAGGTACACCGAGAACGTGGTGCTAAGCAGCGACTTCCCGAAACGCGTCGGCATGGATATGTTCAGCACGTCCGATGTCCGCCCGTTGTTCCAGAAGTCGTCCATGATCTTAGCCACGTCCAGCAACTGCGGACGCTGTTCGCACAGCTCGCGCCACTGCATGCGCATGAAGTCCTGAAACGCTATCCTACTCTTCGCCATTCATCAAACGGTTCAGCCGTTCTCCAGGTGTCAAGCCGTCGATGTTCGCATTCACGGTGGTCATTTCCTCACCGAGAATCTTCTGCAATTTCTGGATGTCGTCTCCGTCAATGTCGTTGCGTTTGTCAAGGTTCATCACGTACTTCGCCGCGATGTTCTCCAACTTGGACTTGTCTGGGTCCGCAACCGACACCTCTTCAAGGGCTATCCTTACCAGTTCGCGCAGTTGTTTCCTGCGTCGTTTGGCTTCTGCACATGCGATGCCTCCACGACTCCCGTTTTCTCTAGCTCTCTTCACGCTAGCGGGGTCGTTTTTGTCATAGGGTATAAGATTACTATCGTTCATGTTTTCGTTCAGTTTTCGACAAATATACAATTTTTCTGCCACAACTCAAAAAATTACGGAGAAAATTACGGGCCGTAAATCGCCGTAAAAAATCCGTAATTTTGTAACTGCTTAAAAATCTATTACTTATATATATATTTTACTTATTTTTACGAAATTACGGAAAAAGTAATAATATATATAGAAAGCCTATAATATAGATTGGTTTTTTTTCGTAAAGTCCGTAAATCCCGTAAATCCGTAATTATCGCGGGAAATAAAAAAATCCAACCACGTGAAAAACAAGCAGTTGGGTTTTTGCAATATTGCCGTTGTCGTCGGAAAACTCTTTCCATGCATCCGTAAGAGTCCGTAAATACGTAAAATCAAAACCGTAATTATTCGGTAGAGAATAGCCCGCTCGTGTCGGTTGCAATCTTCCACTCGCGTTCCAGCCTCTCGCGTTCCAGCCTCTCGAGTTCCAGCCTCTCGCGTTCCAGCCTCTCGCGTTCCCGCCGCAGCATCTCCGTGGCTTCATCGGTGATGATGTAGCCACCGCCGAAGATAGTCTTTGTTGTCACGATACCGTCCTTCTCAATTGCGACATTCTCTATACGTCTTGCCTGTTCGTGTCGTATGGTCCACGACTGAGAGCCGCCGCAGTACTTACCGAGTCGCGCAGAAGATACGATGTTGTCGGGGAGATTGATAACTTCAGTTTTTTTCTTTTTTATCGACGTGAACTCTTTGTCGGCGACTTTGATAGCTGCGTATAGGTCAGCGTCGTAATGGAACAGCACGCCGGGCATCATGTTCGTGACGAACGATGTGGACACTTTCGCGCCATTCTCGTAGGTCGCAGCATATTGGCACATTATTGCAGTGCACTTGAAGTTTCGCATACTTGCAATCGTAAGGGACGGACCGAATAGAAGAAAAAGGATGCCGCGCTCGTCGTAGAAGCGCACAATTTCGGAGAATATGGAAAACGGCGGGTTGTCTATCACCACGCAGCCGTCGGGGTAGTCGAAGTTCTTGTAGTCGCCGCCAGGAAAGAACGGCCGCACGATGGTTGCGTCTTGCAGATCAAACTTTTTCACGCACCAGTCGCGCACCGCATTGTACAGCGGCTCTGGCGTGTAGCAGTCGTCCGTGGTTTTCTTTATCTTGAATTTTTCTGTAAATCCTTCGTAATCATTAAAAAGTTCGTATTGCTGTGACGTACCCATATTGTTAGATGTTAGATGTTTGTTGTTATGGTTTCTGCTATTGTCGCGTTGTGCGGTTCCTTGAGGTAGTGACCCGTGCAGTCGTAGTTGCGGCACGCGGTCTTAAGGTCGTACAGCGCGCACTTGATGCACACGTTTTTGTCGTCGTTGCACGGCACCTTGATAAATACACTGGGTCTCCTGCCGTAGTCAAGTGTCAGGCGGACGATGTTCTTCTCCTTGATCTGATTCGGCCGAATGTTGCGGCGGTCGCCATCTTTCGCCAGCGGACCGAAGTCTGAATATTTGCCTGTATATTGTTTCATGAGCTTATGGGTTTAAGGTTCTGTTGTTTTGCAAGTCTGTCGAGGAAGTCGGAGCTTGCGGATCTGTAACCGCAGTCGCGACCGATCGGCTTGAAAGGTCTGCCATCACCTCGCATGAGTTAATTAAAACTTACTTTTTCTTCGTTAGACATCTCCGCCTCCTTCCTGCACACCGCACGGCGTGCCGTCGAGCCAGATAAACTTTGTTTGGAATTCAGTAAACGGAAATGCAAATCGATAAGAACATACACTCACATCTTGTTTTGATATTTGATTTATCGCATAGTATTCACAACTTACATTATTCCGAACCATATTGCCGTGTTTCTTCATGTCATTCAATAACTCTTCGGGATTGGCGTATGGACGATATTTCGGTTCTTCTTCAATGAAGAGGTCATAACCGTTATCTCCTGAGTCAATCATATACTTACCATTTGCCGTATATGCTGTGTAATCATATATCGAATCGGCATCTTTGTCATACACTACAGCTACAATTGGATAATTATGATCCGTGTTATCATAACATAATATCCTCACTGGTCGGCCGTCTCTCGTGACAACCTTTGCACCTGCTTTGGCTGCTTCAATGTCAAAATTTCTTTTCATAATTAAAAAAGTGTTAATTGGTTATCTTGTTGTATTTTCTTCAATATTTCCTTGTGCGTTTCAACGTCAAAGCCAGACTTTATATTCTTTCTGCATTCTTCTGATATTTTTTGTTTTGCAGCTGTTAAGCACTCATCTAAATTATCAAATCCTTTGTCCCTCAAATTTGGCAAAAATCCATATACGCTGTTTGCAGCGTCCAATTTTATCCCATACAAGAATTTATCATCATATACTGCATACTCAATGATAGCGAGGTTTCTCCCATTCTTGTATATAACAACATCGGTCGGGTTCGTGCATACATTACAATCGAATTTGTATTCTTCCATCTTTATCGTTGTTTTAACACTACAATAATACATAAAATTTTTATAATTTACAAAAAATTGCGTATTTTGATTAAAATTAAAGTGCCTTATTTTCAGCACTTTACAAACAATCATTGTACGATTGCAGTTTTTACATCCATACTTTCCTCATAATTATAATTTTTTTTAATAAAATAATGCTTCTTCTCTCGTTATAAAAAAATGAATACCGTGAGAGCACTCGTTCCATCTCTCATCATCCCAACTATCGGGGTAAACCATTTCGCCAACTTTATACACTGTTTTTGCATAGTTATCATTTACTATCGTTTCTATGTTTGCTTCACCTCCATCCAAATTGGTAATAGATAACACCTTTGCAAATTCACATCTGCATTTTCTTGTAGTTGCGGATGACCTTCTCGCTTCTGCCGGGATCTCCAACTCTACAATCTTATCATTGATTTTTTTAAATCCGACAAAAGAGCCTTTTGCGGGACAACAAAGAGCAAAAAATGCTGTTCTTTCATCAGATAAAACACCGCTCAGGTTTGCACGTCTCAGGTCAGAACGTCCCATGTCAGCACCTCTCAGGTTTGCAAAGCTCAGGTCAGCACGTCTCAGGTCTGCACCTATCAGGTTTGCACCTCTCAGGTTTGCACCGCTCAGGTCAGCACCTCTCAGGTCAGCATCGCTCAGGTTTGCACCGCTCAGGTTTGCAAAGCTCAGGTTAGCATCGCTCAGGTTTGCAAAGCTCAGGTTTGCACCTCTCAGGTTTGCAAAGCTCAGGTCAGCATCGCTCAGGTTTGCAAAGCTCAGGTCAGCACCTCTCAGGTTTACAAAGCTCAGGTCAGCACATCTCAGGTCAGCATATTGTCCACCTTGGCCCTCAAGCCATAATTTGTGGGATTGCAATACGATTTTCAATTCTTCTTGTTTCATAATTATTGTGTTTTGCAGTTTTTTCATCCATACTTTCTATCAAATTTCGGAACATTTCCTCTGAATGGCAGAAAAACACGATGTCGGGATGCCGTTGCTGCCATATTTTCTGCTCTGGTCGTACGTGCGCCGTGGCCGACCTCTTGAACTCCACCATGAAGAACACGCCGCTCTTGAGGAACGAGTGGTCGGGAATGCCCTTGCAGCCGTTGTTCTCGTTCTTCCAGCAGTCCCAGCCGCGGCTGCGGGCGTATCGTACGCACTTCTGCTCAAGTTCATGTTCTACTCTCTTCATATCTTCGTCAGTCTCTCCACGAGGTCGTTATCCTTTTTCTTCCGTGCCAGCGAGCGCAGAATGTTGACGTCGCACGTGTCTTTGCTCATCATGTAGTATGCGACAACCTGCTCCGTCTGGCCCGGCCGTCTCAGTCGCGCATTCGCCTGGGCGAACAACTCGTAGTCGTATGTCAACTCCATCCATACTGCCACGTGGCCGCCACGCTGGAGGTTAAGTCCGTGGCCGCTGCTCTGAGGGTTGGCGACAAGCACGTCGATGTCGCCGTTGTTCCACTTTTCGAGCCAGCCCTTAGCAGACGTGGAGCATACGCGCAACCCTTCTGCGGTGGCCAGCTCGTGGAACCATATCGCAGACTCGCGGAAGTGGTAGAGCAGCAGCACGTGTTCCCCATTGTCGCGGCACTCGCAGCACTTATCGACCGCTGCGCGGATCTTGCTGCCGCCGTGCTCCAATCTTATCACGTTGCCGTCGTCGTCGTAAACGAACCCGCTGGTGAGCGTCTGGATCTTTGCGAATACGGTCTTGTCGGTGGTCGTGAAATCGTCATCGTCTGGCAGCTCGAAGTGGAGCGTCGTCACGAGGTCGTCGTAGGCTTTCCGCTCCTCTTTGCTGAGGTTTACGAATTGCGGAACCTCAACCACCGGTGGCAGTCCTATGTAATCGTCGGTGCTCAATGTGATGATGTCGTCGGCGAACTCGCTGAGTACGTCGCCCGGTGTCACGCCCTTGCGCAGTTGCCACTTCTGGAACGACTTGCCGCTGCCGCGCATCACGTCCTCGAACCACCTCCCGCGCCATCCGTAGTAGTCGTCACCGGCTATGCAGATGGCGGATAGTTGCGGATATATGTCGATGATGCCGTTGGGCGCGAACGTACCGGTGAGCCCTATCTTCTTGGTGGCCGTGATGCCGCGCATGGTCTTGGACCGCTGCGAGGTCCACGACTTGAAAGATGTGAGCTCGTCGATAACCACGATGTCGAAGTGCCTACCGGCGAACAATGCGATATTGTCGCGGCTGACGACCTTGATCTGTGCCACGTAGTCGTCAGATGCCATCTCCAACTTCTTCTCCTTTGTGCCGGCAACGAGCGCCATGCACGCGCGCAGCTTCCACAGTCCCCACTGCTCAGCCTCCTGCAGCCATACGGTCTCTGCGACCCTCTTGGGCGCGACGATTAGCACGCGCAGTGACTGGTAGTCGTGTATATGCATTATGTAGTCGAGCGCCGTCAGCACGGATATTGTCTTTCCCAGCCCCATTCCGACCGACAGGCACACATTCTTGCGGCGCAGGATCTCATCCACGAGCCTCTTCTGATATTCTCTTAGTTGCATGGTTTTTTTTCTTTAGAACGGCAACGCGTCGCCGTCGGGTTCTTCTTCCGTTGTGTTGATTGTCAGTTGTCCGTCACTCGTACGCTGCTGTATGGTGGCGCGCAGTTCGGATATATTGTAGTATTTCTTCCCGCCGCTGTCGTGGTATCGTCCGAACAGATCCTCCACCGTTGACTTGATGAGCTCTATGGTGTGGCGAGAATTGTCGCGGCTGTTGATGTAGTCGCAGAAGAACTTCGGAAACGATACCGCCGTGCGCGGCGAATTGGATATGTACACCTCGAAGTCGTCGGATAGGAATGCGGACACCATGTCCTCCTCCACCTTCCCGTCCTCGCCCACCACATCATCTATCGTGCGCGAATACCATGCAGCCACGTCGTCCTCGTCGGGAACGTTGACGATGTAAGACTTCCACAGGTCGTACAAGTCGGCGTACGGCATCGGCTTGGGTTTCCGCTCCATGGTGACGACCATGATGCGTCGCTCGGAAGAGTCGGCCACCACTGACGATACGTCATTGTTGGACGTGAAGATGTAATTGCGGCGGCACGTGATGTCGTACTTGCTGCCGAACTTGACCTCGACCTGACACTTGTCGGACGTGATCGCATTTTTAAATTTACCGTAGTATTTGCGGGTGTTTTTTCCGCTGAAAGCCTCGTCCATTACCACGGAATAGAACGAGCATCCCTTCGGCTGGTCGAATGTGCCGAACTGCAACTCCTGGGCGATTGACGACGACCACTTTCCGCGCATTGCCTCGTTCCACGTTGCACAACCGTTGAGCACCCCGCTGATAGTATTCGCCACCGTAGTCTTACCGGTCATCTTGGTTTTACTGAATAGATAGATTGAGCGGTTGAGCAGAGGGTCGGAGTTTTCGCGGCGGCACTGACAGATGTAGTATCTAAACTTCTCCATGTCGGCCTCGGAAAATCCGTACACCTCCATGATGCGGCGTGCGCATTCGTCGGCCTCCGACTTGCTGCGTGGGACGTTGAGCATCTTCTCACGAGCGGCGCGCAACCTCATCGGCTCGAAGTGCGACATCCACAACTCTTCGGCCTTTGCCTTGATCTTAGCGTCCGCATTGGGCGACGTGTACAGGTTCATCGCGCGCCTGCGCAACAGCACCTGCTCGGTGTCTGATTTGGAGTCGGCACGCGTGAGGCATTTGTCTGTGCAGATGATGTAGTGTGCATCGTCGAGGGAGTCCTTGAGTTCCTGCATACTGTCGAACTCGAACATCTTCACGAACTCGTAGATGTTCGACTTTCCGTCCTGGAACTTTATGAGGTCCTCCACGAGTTTGGAGGGCTTTCCAACGCTCGTGGTTTCGTTGATTATATATAAGTCTTTGAATTTCATAACGTTTATTATATTAATCCGTACCCGGTGCAATCCCATAGGTCGTAGCCTTCCGGCTGCAGTTTCGCATCTGGGTAGTCGTCGGGGTTCTTGATTTCCCAGCCGTACTTGTTGGCAGATCGCTGCCAGTTGACGAACTGGCCGTCGTCTGGAAACAGAGTGACTTCGCGCCCTCTCAGTATGCGCACGTCGATGCTGCCCTTGAGCATCTGCGAACCGCCGCACGCCAGCCATACGATATTGTCGTCGTGGTGGTAAGCCTCCAACAGCAGCGCCGACTTCTCGCCCTCCACGATATTAACTTTCGCATTCGGGCGGATGTCGAGGACGTGCTGCCCGAAGAAGCACTGACACAGATACGCTACGTTGCGATACTCGGTGTATTGCTGCTTGCAGTGCCACCAGCGCGGCTGCGTGTCCTTCTTTCTGTGGCCATCTGGACCATATTGTATCATCTTGGCGGTGCGCATCCATACTCCGTCGAATTGCGGATATATGCAGTAGCCGTCAATTGTCGTTCCAATGTGGTACAACTGCATTGCGGCTGCAAGATGTTCTCTGTCGAGTATGTCCTTGTACGCATTGTACAGCGTATTGACCGACGTCACCTCGAACTTCGGAAGCTGGAAACACATCGGGTTTTTCTTCTGCTCCTGCATCGGTTCGCCGGTGTACTTCGTTTCCACATCGCGCCCAGGATAGCGGAAATACCCGCAGTGCTGCTCTCTGTCACATCGTCCGTATTCGCGACCTGCCGGTGTGGTGCCGTCGTATGCGGACACGTACGGCACGAAACGACGTTGACCGCATTCGGGGCATACGTCCTTCTTGCTGCCCTTGCGCAGCACCCAGTTGTATTTTCTATTGTTCATACCAGTCGTTTAATTTGGTTTTCACGCCGCGACTATTAAGATATTCCGTGATGCGCTTCGCGTCGCACAGACGCGGACTGCAACGGCCATTGAGCCACGCCACCAGTGTAAAGTAATTTACATCGGTGGCACGGCTCACGTGCATTATCGTTATGCCGCTTGATTTTATTACTTGCTTTATCTTCATCTTACTGAGGTTTCGCGTTGCCGATGATAGGGATGGATTTTCTCCCTAAAATCCTAAGTCTTCGTCGTCAGTGATCTCCACTGCCGCATTGTTTCTGTTGTTGTACTGCTGAGGTTTCGCGTTGCCGATGATAGGGATGGATTTTCTCTCTTCCTCGCTCATGGCGTTGTATTCTTCGCTGGATATCCTTTCCTTGACGAAGTGCGTATCGCCGTACTTACCTTCTTGGTTGAGCTGCACCATTGAGAGGTCAAGGTATACCGCGCAATTCTTGCCTACGTATAGTTTGTCGGTAGGGATGCAGATGCACTCCTTCGCCGTGGTTTTGCCCTGGATAGACTTCACGAATGCGCCACGGACTTTCTTCAAGTCGATTTTGATGTTGTAGTTCATGATAATTATTTAATTGTTAAACTTGTGTTTTCCTTAATTTCGGCTCCGGGCACTTCCGCGCCGTTCTTTATCGCCTCCTTGACGGCCATCTTGTCGATACTGGTGGTTGTCGTAGTCTTCACGTACTCTGCAGGGATGCTGTTTTCGTCCGTGATGTTCACAGCGGACGACTTGCGCAGCCCGACCACGAACGATCCAGCCGTAAACTTGCGGTTGCCGGTGGCAACGAGGAACGTCTGCAGCGCATTCTTCATGCGGTCGATCGTAACGGAGTCGCGCTTTGCAGAAGCCTTGATGCGGTCGGCTTCGTCAAGTTTCGCGGAAACTGAGGCCTCAAGGTTGCGGATGATCTTGCAGTAGGACTCTACCTTTTCGGCGGCATTGTCGCCGTTGATTGCGAGGCGTTGCTCCAGCTCTTCAGTGAGCTCGCCGCCGTTCTCTTCGAGTTCCTCCACGATGGAGGCGTACTCGGTCATGATGTCATAGATTGTCTCTTTCATTGTGTGTTGGTTTTTGTTAAACAATGTGCAAAGATACACAATTTCTTGTAAACTTTGCACTTGTGATAAGATTTTTTTCAAGGTGCTGCAGCAGGACTCGAACCTGCAACCTGCGGTCATATTACCTCCGCAGCATCTGGGAAGAAGGCCCAGCGTGTGTCCATCACAAGTACAGCACTAATCATAGCATTGACTATTATTCGCTTTCAGGTTCCTCGGAGCTGACAATCGTGATTGATAGATAGTGCTTATCCGTGTTTCACGGATCCCGTGCCTTTACACGGGCACTAAAAGTTAATAATAGTTTTTCAATCAAAGAACGTGCTGGGATTGAGCGCCCTTACCGCTTTGAGGTCGCGGCGGGAGTCGAACCCGCTAATGTCCTACGCTTATGCTGCCTATGCCGTTTAACAGCCTATCGCGACCAAGTGAGGCGGGCGGCGCGCCTCGGATTCAGAGAAAAAACGCTTATTGTTAACCTAACCTATGGTAATGCCGCCGAAAGAACATGACCGGATTACTCGCCGGCACCGAGTTTTTTTTTCAAGTTCAGCGACCTTCTTCTTCATATACTAAAGTCGCACACGTAGCCATTTTCATTAGCCGATAGTTGAAGCTCCTTGCCTGCTACGTTTACCGTTTCTTAATGCCCAGCTCGTTACTGCGTGCCACCATTGCGGCGCGGACGTTGCCAAAGATACCGCTCTTCATCGCCTCTTCCTTGAGCGCGGTCAACTCTTCGCGCGTGGTTGCGCTCTTCACCTTTGCCAACACTTCGCCGACCATGCTCTGCAACTCTTCGGAGTAGTAGTCCGGGTCCTTCTTCTCTTCTGTCGGGATAAGGAACAGCTGCATCAGTGCGTACTTGAGAGCGATGCTCATGGCCTTGTTCATGGCCTTATCGCCGCTATCCATTGCCTCTCCGACATTGCGGATGGTTATGAAGCTGCCATCGGATGCGGACAGGTGAAACTTCATCGTTGCGCGAACCACGGACATCGCGCCACCTTTCGCCGTAACTCGTTCTGTCACATCGTAGGTTTCGATTTCAGGGATCACGAGAACGCCGTGTTCGGCAAAGTGAGCATGCAGCTCGTTCATCACATCGTCAATGCTCCTGAACATGAATCCCTGTTGCTGGTTCTTGCGGCTCTTCGTGAGCGCGCCAACCTTCCGGTTGATCTCGGCCAACGCCGAGTAAATTTTCTTTTCTTCCATGATATTATTGATTTTGATTGTTATTGGTTCTCTGTTGCATAAAGTGGCGTTGTCGTCTTGCAATGCACAAATTCGGCCCACATTGCCACGGATGCGGCCAACATGATAACTACTGCCGACCACTCGATTACAGTTCTTATTTTGGCGCGTCTGCGCGCTTTCTGCGCGATGCGCTGCTCTTCCGCGATGCGCCACCAGTCAAGATGATATTCATTCATGTTTATAAGTTTTAATCGTTAATAACTGCGTTGTTGCCGTTGTTTGATGCTGCAATAATACACAATTTTTTGTAAAAAACGAACATCGCAAAAAAAAAATTTTTTTTTTTCTTTTCTTCACTATGTCAAGCAGTTACAAGTATTTAAAATTGATTTTTGAATTTTTAAAGCGTTTATATATGCTTATTTTCGGAGAAAAATCGCAAACCGGTGAAAAAAAACGAACCCCGGGGATCTCCCCAGGGCTCGTAAAAATCCAATAACACAAACCAAAACAGCTACCATGTCAGAAGCTTTCGACTGCAAAGATACGAAAATTTCAATACTCCCGATCTTTTCACGTCCGATTTTTACGGCCCGTAAATCGCCGTAAACGCTTTCGTAAATCGTAACTACTTATGTATATGTATATTATTACTATTTTTACGGAAATTACGGAAAATATATCAATATATATAAGAGGATATAATAGCGACTTGACGTTTTTTTTCGTAAAATCCGTAAATCAATGAAAAAGCGCCACAATACACTGAAAAACAATGTATTGTGCCGTTACTTATTCCGTGATGTGGCTGAAAGTGTCCGTAATCCCGTAAAAGAATTACGGAAATCGTTCAAACGTTCATACATTCGCCGCTTTTCATAAAAACACAAAAAGCGCCCAAAATAGGCTCTAAACGTGCAAGGTATATAATTATGTCAAAATCTCGTAATAGTGGCAAATTTGGCGGCACATGCGCGAAAATTCGCCTATGTGCTTATGATGTCAAGTTCTGCAATACCATTTGACCACGTGCAAGAGCGGACTAGCCACGATTTGCCGCGATAGCGCAACACTGAAAAAACGTTTATTTTCAAAAACTGCTGCAAATCCAGCATAATTGATATCGCAACCTCATCACAATTGGACGTGATATTGTTGAAGGCTGCCCCAACGCCCAAATCTCTATCTATGTGACTGAGGTGTAACGGCTCGCCCCACGTTGGGTTGAAACACATAATTCCCAACATCTCGTTATAGCTTGAGCTGCCATCTTCATTTATTTCAACATCGTTGAAGTATGCCGCCCCCATTGCAGCCAACTCCCCGGCATAGAATGGAATAGTGTTTAGCACTCTCTCACCGTCAACCATATTGCTATTAACCGCGTATGTTCTTGCAAATGTCTTATCCTCGCTCTGCAATATGTTTCGTCTGTTCCAGCCGTTAAGATAGCGCGTAATTTTTCCAACATTTACAATACGCATCTGCTCTTCAAACATCATTACAGATTGATTATTTGCGATATAATCGGCTGTATAAACGTGTATTGTTCTGCTCTGCTGGTCAATCACATAAGTAGCGCAAATGATATCGCAAAACGTGATAAGCAGCTCTCCCAATGTCATATCGGGCATATTATCGGCTATGTCAATGTCGGTGGCTTGTAGTGCATTTTCGCCCGTTCCTTTGCTTTCAAATGAATACGATGCTGGTGGTGTTGTTGTCGTTCTTGCAGCCAGCCGCCATTTGCCGCGATTGGGCATCCATTGCGCTTCATCGTACATTCCCACGATAGATCCAGCGCCAACACTCATCGAAGATTGTTCGCTTATAAGTTGAGTTCTGCTGTCCTCTATTTTTGAGAAAAGAGGCGCACCACGAGAACCAACCAGGGCAAAGCCGTTGCGCTGTGGGAAAATCAATTCCATTGCCACCTTAGCAGAAAGGACGTAATTTCTTAATACTACTGGGATCGTGCCAAAAACCGAATTTACATTTTTCATTTCAAATCCAGCCTCGTCCAATGTTATCGGCTGCCCTTCCTTCGTGCAAGATACTGAGGCTTCCCAATTGTTTGCCGGGTTGTGTGGCTGTACATTGATTACGTTGTGGACGTATGTTTTACAAGTCGGTAGCTTCAACAGATAATATGAAGGGTTGTTTTTTGTCATACTCATACCAGAATTGACAACCACCCCGTCAACATACATCGTATATCCTAAGAATTGCATTGCCTCAATTAGAAGATATCCCATATTTACACACGGCAATATTATCGGATTTGTTGAAGGTTGCACGCTGCCAATCGGGTGGGTAGCATTAACATAGCTAACCCATCCATACGTTTGTGCAAAGTTGGGCAATTCCTCATCTTTGCCGCTGAAATGCAAATCGGGCCAATGTCGGCCGCGCACGATGTCGGCCAGTTTTGTTGCTGTCAATACGTCCTCTTTCCCATAGACAAATAAAAGGTTCAAACGTCCATTTTCGCCGCTTACAACGCCAATTTCACCAACAAGCAACACGCCATCGGCCGACACAACGCCCGCAACCATATTCTTAACCCCGCTAAATTCTGCATTGTTGTAATACTCTGTAGCGGCCGCATTGTGTTCTGTGTAAGGCACTGACAAATCAAGCGTGTGCATTAGTTTAGGTTCGCCACGCTCAATAAGGTTATTGGTAAACTCAATAGATAGCGTTGTTTGTCCGTCAACGTCAAGCCATTCGCCGTTGAATTGTATCGTTACCATTGTGCCACCTCGCTTTCCACCTCAACGGCAAATTCAATGTTTCTTTTTTCATTCGGTTTGAACGCGCCAATTGCAGACGTAAGAAATACACGCTGTATTGCTTCCCAACTGCCCGAGCTGGCATTTGTCAGAATGTAGGCATTGATGTCATTGGAATAGTTCAAATCGCAAATGTATTGATAATCTGCGAATGTTGCCTCCGTCAATCTCAGTGTATACACTTTTTTTTCTTTCAGCAATTGCTTGCTTAAACCTTGCTCGTAAATCGTCAATTTGTCTGATGGCGTGGTATTGATAGAAACAATATCAAATGCATACGATTTATGCACTCCGTCACGCTTGCTCAACCATTGAAGCTGCAACACGTTGTTGCAGTCGCTGACGTGTTCAACGTTGATTTGTGCGGTATTGACAAAAAAGGCGTTTAATTTTACGGCCGCCTGTTGAATAGTTGCAGTATTCATCAATCCAAGTTGAGATGTTGAGGTTTGTCCGTTCTTTAATTTGGTGATTACATCGTCGGTTCCTCCGTGTCTGTTGATCCAGCCAAAACTAATTGTTGTTCCGTCAAGAACCCTTAATCTTGTTGGCGGCAATTGTTCATCCACAACCGTTACATTGTCATAGTTTGCGCATTGCAGCGTTACTGTTCCACTTTGCGACGTTGCTCCAACTTGAATATCAAAATTGAAATTCACACTTGTTTGCAACGGATAACCCATCCCGTTATTGTTCAAAAAACTGAGTACTGGGTTTGAATAATCAAGGAATACACTCTCCCCCGCTTCTATCGTGCAAATGGTGTTTACGTATGTATAATTGATTGCAACCTCGGCCGCCTGGTCGTTGTTGTTTTTCAACTTGAAAAAAAGACCATAATAGGCATTTACATGGAAGTCGCCGCTTACGATTTTCATAGCGGGCGCTGCAACAAGGACTTCAATATCTCCGATTATATCTACGCGCTTATATATCATAATTTTACAATATTTTCAGTAGTCTTAACTCTTTTTTCAAAATTGGTAAACTCTTTATAATCCAGAACGG